CCCTCCCCTCCGCTGGAGCTGACCGCGGTCGACCCAGTGTGCACGAGTCGAGTCGGGCGGGAGTTCAGATTCAGGAGCCCCCAAACGGGGTGGTGACCGGTGACCACACCGTGTAGTGAGTCGGCGGGGATTCGGACTCGGGTCGTTTTCCGAGCGACTTGGGCATCCGAGGTCCCAAAACCGTTCGTTGACGGACCGTGCGGTGAGGTCTTGGGGGATTTCGAGGTCACCGCACGGTCTGTCACCGCACCGTTTCGGGACTCCAAACAGTTGGGCAGGGAGATGTAGATGCGAGTCGAATCGGTTCGCCACCCTTTCATAAGGGAACAAAGAATGACACTCACATAGAAAACTCGGCGGTCCTCGCGGACCTCTCGGATCCGCGCTTGACCCCCCTCCCTGGCGCGCGGAGCGCGCCAGGGGCGGTGCCGGACCTCCGAGTTTTTATATGTTTGTGTCAGTTTACGTTCCCTTCCCTTTGGATCGACTGCGTTGCTGGTGGAGTCGGCTGCTCGGCTGGCGGCGGAGATGTCCCCAGTATGCCTGTGTGTCTCCCTCCTACCTCCTGGCCCGTGGTGACCAGGGGGAGGTGGATGTCATGGCGGGGGCCATGATATCTCCCCAGATTTCATGGCGCCTCTTCTTCATTCAATACGTTCCTGGCCCCCCCTGGGCCGCGCATGTACCGCCGGGCACGATTTGCGCCCCCCCTACTTGGACGCACCCCTGCAGGACGCCCCCGACTCTCTCCATCATCACCCTTCCTCCTCCCTCTTCCTGACTCCGCGCCGCTCCTGTCCTGCCATCCCCTTTCACGATGGGGGGGGTCAGGACCTGAGCATCAAGGCCATCACCTTCCTGGCCATGCGCCACCTCGGCTTCCAGCACTACTGCAGGACGGCAGTTCCTTCCGCCCGTCGATCTGTTTCGCTGGTCTCCGCACCAGCTACCCCGATCATGTCGCCTCATCAATCAGCATCGCCATCTTCGTCGTCGCCGTATTGCTGGCGTGCGCGGGCAGGCGCAATATGCCCCTACGGTTAAGTCGGGCCTGTCCCCTTACAGGAGGCATATTCAAACATGGTTAACAAATAGTCTGGGGACGATGCATGTAGTATTTGTTGAGTATGGAGTATGTTTAACGTGTTTGCATTTTTTGTCGGAAATCCTGATATATGGGGGACAGGCCCGACCTAACCCTACGGGCCCCGATCCGTGTCACATGCCGCGCGTGGTCATCGCGGCTCGTCAGCACTGCCTTCGTGATCAGAGTCGTGGTAGTCACCCCGTGGCCGTTCCGTTCCTCCCAACGCAGATACTGTACCAGATCAAACGCAAGGCTGTAGTGCATCAACACGCTGAGGATATATCTGACACATTTCTGACAATTTGCTGCGCGTTCCGATTGGCGCCGCAAGCGGCCGCGGCGATGATCACCGTGAACCGTCGCTAGAATGCCAGCCTCGGCTTCAGCAAGACCTCGTTCTGGATGCGGCCGCGTGCGGCCAAGGCGGCAATGGAGGAACCCTCGTCTAGGTATCGGTATGGACGTCGCCGAGGTAATTACGGTAGGGGCGTTGGTTAACAAATTCGCCCAGGAGGCTGCAGACCCTGGAGGATTCCTTATCTGATCAGGCCGGCGGTGGTATCCATGGCGAAGCTTGGAGTGGAGTTCCACCTTGCTCCAGACCCTGGATTCCTTATCTAAGGAGTCCTTATCTAATGCCCACACCGTAGTGATGATCCGTGACATTGGCCGTCTGGTTCTGACCCATGGGCTCAGACCCACGGGCTGCATCAGCAACAGCACATATTCGTCCCGAATCGACGAATCTTCGTTCGACAAGGGCGCAGGCGCTTATGGTAGGGCTTAGGGTATGCAAATCACGTGCGACGCCGAGGATGTCACTCTCGGCTGAGGATCTGTTCATCGGAGAGGGCGGCCAGACTTGTTCGCAGGTGGGTGCAGCGACCGCACAGCTGCACGACCGCCTACTGCGGACGCTACTACCCAGCCCCTCGGTTCGATCGTTCCCTCTGCTTGCTCGGTGGTGATGTGTGGAAGTGTTGGCGAGGTAGTGGGCAGGGGATGTGGGGAGATGCGGCGTTTGCTCCTTTTGGCAACACGTTGTTGTTGGGCGTGTTGCATTGCTTCAGTGGGTCGCTCCGCTACTCGTGGGAGGTCTGCCGTCTTATTCGATTGGTAGTGCCCTCCTTCTTGGATGTATGGCGCTTTCTACCAATGCCAGCGTGTTTTCTCCGGAGGTGCGGTGCCTTCTCCGACCAGAAGCGTTGTCCGTTGGAAGTTGCAGGGCGTTCTCTTTTTATGAGGCGCACTTCATTCGGAAATATTGCGTCGTCGGTTGTCGGCTCCGCGGTTCGTAGCTTCTTGGGGTGATTCGGGGTTCTCGCTGGTTTTCCTTACTGGTCACTTCCTTGTAGAAATGACAACCTACACTCGCTGTCAGTCTCCTCAACATGGGAGCAGTTATGTACCTCTAGTCATGACCTTTTGTTCCAGTCATTTCCCAGGAAATCGCTAGCACTGCTACTCTTCCTTGAAATCTGTGCAGCGGGTGTTTGTTATCTCCGACCGCTCGTTGACCGACGCTTGACTTGCGCCCGCGGACTCACAAGTTTGTCACCGTAAACAGGGAAACCATTCTTGCAAACGTTGTTAGCATCACTGCATCAAACCTTGATTATCTCCTCTTCCTCCGCCCCCTCCTCCCCTCCACCCCCGTCTCCTCATATGATTCCCGTTCTCCTCTGGTGGTGGCGGCAATCTTCTCACTCACGTCGCCATTCGCACTGACCCGTCGCTCTCTGGGATCTTGACGACTTGCATACGCTAGTATATTGAAAAGGAATGGCCGCTCTGCTTGCGATGCGTCGCCTGTTTGCGATGCACCTCACGGTGTCACATGCCGGAAACCCAATCGGTCGGCAAATTTTAGCCGGCTTGTTCCAAAGCATTTGACACTGTGGCGACCCACTGACATACGACATTTCAACGGCATTGCTGTGTAACCTGGCGCGGCTGATCCGACTCGATTTCGGCTTTGTGCCGATGCGGCCCGATTCGATGCATGTTCTGATCCCGTCCGGTCTGATTTGCTGATTTGATGCTGGTTACCTCCGCACCATCGCCCTTCCGAGGTCTACAACCAAGACGCTACAATATGGACCACTTTGGTCTCAGGAGGGGCTCTGATTTTCATACCGTTCATCAGGTCTGGGACGGGAACCTCTTCGTGACCGAGGCCAGCAAATAAATTCCGGCCCTTTTTCGCAGATGATCTTCAGGACGTGGGTTAGTTCCATGTGTGCTTACGCTTTTCAGTTCCCCGCCAGTAGTGCGCAGCCGTTGTTTGCCCTCATTACACCGCCTGCGCCGTGCTGGAAGGCTTCGGTGGATAAGCACACGTTGGCGCAAACACACGTTCATGAGGAGGCGGCAGTGGCGTCAGAGGAAACGGCAGGGGCGCCAGGACACCCTGCAGAGGCTCCCAAGAGGGCGGCCAGGAGGGCGAGGAGGGGAGGAGGAGGAGGAGGAGGAGGAGGAGGAGGAGGAGGAGGAGGAGGAGGAGGAGGAGGAGGAGGAGCGAAGACGAGGCAGTGATGTTGAAGGACGCCCCGACACATCCAGAGGATCAATCTCTGACGCTGGCGTTGCCCATGTGGCCGTACTCCAGCGCCCCTCCGTCTCTCCCTCGCGCGCTCCCGCCCGCCCAGGGGAGGGGCCCCGGCCGCGGACGCAAAGAACCCGGCACCCCCAGCGGCAGCCTCCGCTACTGGTACAAGCCCGGCGACGGCCCCGCCCGCGTGTTCTGCCACGGCATAGGACGGCCTTTTTTGTTATGTTGGCTCCTCCTCCTCCTCCCTCCGCCCTTCTCCCCCCTCCTCCTCCCCCTCCTCCTCCTCCTCCTCCTTCTCCTCTCCTCCTCCTCCTCCTCCTCCTCCTCCTCCTCCTCCTCCTCCTCCCTCCTCCTCCTCCTCCTCACTCCTCCTCCTCCTCCTCCTCCTCCTCCTCCTCCTCCTCCTCCTCCTCCCTCCTCCCTCCTCCCTCCTCCCTCTCCCTCCTCCTCCTCCTCCTCCTCCTCCTCCTCCTCCTCCTCCTCCTCCTCCTCCTCCTCCTCCCTCCTCCTCCTCCCTCCTCCTCCTCTCCTCCTCCTCCTCCTCCTCCTCCTCCTCCCTCCTCCTCCTCCCTCCTCCTCCTCCTCCTCCTCCTCCTCCGTAGCCATTTTGGCTCAAGGTCCCAATGTTGCTTGGCATAGCGCCAAGAGGCTTTCATGGCATACCCTTGTTCCAGGGCCAGCTCAGGAGTGTCTTTTTTTTCTGCTCCTTTTACATATCCACGCGGGATTGTCTGCCAGTGGTGCCGCGTCCACCTCCATATTGAAGGTCGAGAAGTCAGACTCTGCGATCTGCGGTGTGCTCTCAACATGCCCGAGACGTGCGACCTTGCCACCGTACGTGATCGACGCGAACGGAGTCCTCGGAACAACAAAGATCCATGGCAAGACGCTGCACAAAAGGAAAGACTTGAACTATTCCGCTCCGAGATCGAGAAGCACCTGGCCATTCAAGTCGCTGATGCAGCCGAACAGTTCAAGGCCACCGCAGAGAAAGTCGCCGCCTCGTCTCAAGCCAGCTTCATCACGCACATCACCAACATCACGGCCAAGCTCACCGAGCGCCAAGACCACGTCGAGAACGACATCGTCTCCCTCAAGCAACGCGTCTCCGCTTCCGAAGTGGAGTCCAAGAACCTCAACGACGCGGTGGACAAGATCAAAACTGCCATTGCACAGGCTGAAGCCCAAGTTCCTTCGCTCGACGTCAGCAACATTGGTTCGTGGGACAGGGCCCCACACATCGGCACCTTCTGGATTGCATCCACTGTGGACATCACACAAGCTTCTCTCAAGTCAGCCATCACCGAATGGTTCTCGGCGGCCAACATCGACGTGTCTATGGTTCGCTACAACAACTCCGCTCCTGCCAAGCGGGTCTCCATCACTGTGCTCGGAGCAGATGCCGTCGCAGTACCACGTGCCCAAGCGCTCCATCATCACCTTCGCATTGGTCGAGAATGGCGTACTTTCTCAATCGGCGGCGCTCCATGCTACGTCAGCGCGGACAAGAGCCCCAAGCTCGTCAGGCAGGAGATCCAGCTCAAGAAGCTGGCAAGGATCATCAACAATGCCAAGCAGGACCTCAACCCCAAGATCCACCGCACCGACGGCTACCTCTCCATCGACAATGTGCCCATCGTCCGCATCCAGGTGGGCTCCCGCCCTGAGATGGCAACCAAGATTCAATGGTCTGACGCTGCTGAAGGTGTTGGCCTTACATCCGTGATGCGTACTTCATGTGCCGACGCCCTTGCCGCTGCCTTTGCGGATGCAACTACATCAGCGTCGTGGATTTAACAGCAAATGGACCCCTTGGAGCGCGACTACCCCTTCATCGTTGCCTGAATGCTCAGTGGTCAGCTGGAATGCCCAGGCACTGGTGCATTCGAACATCGTCAAGCGAGACGCCAAACTCTCCATCCTCAAGCCCTACCTCGCCAAGCACTCCCTCATTGTCATTTAGGAGACCCACGGCACATCGCAGATGATTCACAGCTTCATCAATTCCACGGGCGCCAAATACGACGTCTACCACAGTGGCATCCCCGACTCCAATGCGGCGGGCGGCGTCGCCTTCCTCATCCCAAAGTTCCTCCCCTGCGACGACCAGGACGACGCCATGCCGATGATCAACTTCTCCGCGGTCATCCCTGGTCGTGCCGCCGAACTGCGTATCCGCGACCCCAGCCTGAAGTACCTCCATATCTACCTCACCATTCATAACCATGATCTCACTGCTGACGACCGAAGACGGATCAAGGCCACGTGGCAAGTGGCACTACGCGAAGCAATCAGCGACCCTGAACACGTTATGTTCTTCATGCTCGGCCATTTCAACATCTCTGAACTACCTGCTCGCAGTCTACTACGCCCTGTCGAAGTGCCTGCTCACGAACGATACCAGTTCCAGCCCACTTTCTGGAAGCAGCTCTTCCGACCGCTGGTCGAGATTTGCACTCCGTCCACCACCCACCGTTGCTACGCGAACAACACCGAGTCAAGCATTGACCGCTTCTTCACCTCCTTCCAAGCACATAATCTTACCCACATTGAGACGATCATGGTGGCCGATGACTCACCTCTCGAACGAAAAGGGACTCCCGCCAGTGACCATAAACTCCTTCATGTCCGTTTTCGCCCCCGAGTCCAACGGCCCCATTCTGAACGAGGCATCCCCGCCTTCCTCTTCAACTCCGGTTTCTACAAGTTCTTCATCGACAAGCTCACCGCCGACACCGAATACGACGCGCTCACGCCCATCATCAAGTGGCGCACGCTGAAAGCCAACATGACGAACGCCGCGAAGGCCACGCGAGATGCTCTCGCGCGACTACCGCCTGAAGTCCTGGCACGCGACCACCTATCGATTTCCAAGGAAGTCAACTCGATGACCATGAGAAGCATCTCCCGCGCGGTCTGGTTCCAGGACATCAAGCTGGCGCGCCTCCTCATCGACACCACCCACCTAGGCTCCAAGCACCTTCAGATCATCATTGACAACTCCTCCGACATCACCTCAAGTAAGGTTTGCCTGGGCAACGCCAACGCCTTTGCCGATGCCGCTGCTGAAGTTCACGCTGCAGTCGCTGAAGAACGCCGCGCCCTCGCCGCCGCACGTGCCCGGGACGCTTACCAACGTCGGCAGCGTCAACAAGGAGACAGGTGGCGGAAATGCGCCAGTGCCACGCGCAGACTGGGGGAGCTTTGGAAACCATTCCCCAAGCGTCTGGCGCCCGCTGGCATCCGAATCTCGCAAGGCGACTCTTCCATCATCGCCAAGACGCCATCGGACGTGCACGACGCCATACTTGCGCACTGGGGCCCGATCTTCGCAGACAAGCCAGTAAACATTGCCAACATGAACGCCTACCTGGATACCGTCTTCCCCCAGCGTGACCCTGTTGCGCTGGAACTCCCCAACGCCGAAGAGCTTCAAGAAGCAGCAAAACGAGCACATGACTCCGCCGCAGGTCCAGATGGCCTTCCTTACAAAGCTTGGACTTCCACTCCCAACAGCTTCGAGATCTTGGAAGAACTCGTGGCTGACATCTCGGCCAACAACATCATCCCGCACGATTGGAACCACGCTCTACTAGCCATGCTACCAAAAGGTGACGCGCCTGCTGGTCATGCAGAATGCTTTCGGTCGCCAGACCAACTCCGCCCTCTCGCGATGAAGAACACCGACGTAAAGATTGCCGCCTCCGCCATCAACCGCAAGCTACATCCGATAGTCAAGCAAGTGTCGAATATCCAACGAGGCTTCGTACCTGGCCGCCAGTTCCTCAACAACATAGTCGAAGCTGACACGTACAGCCGCATCTAAAGCACCATGGTCAACGCCACCGAGCACATGCCGTGCTTCCTCAGCATGGACATCGCGGCCGCCTTCCCAAGCTTGCTTCACGCCTGGTTATGGGAAGTGATTCGCAGATGGGGGATTGTTGGACGCGTCCGTCGCCTCCTCCAGTCCTTCTACGCCTCGCCCATCGCCTTCCTCGAGCTGGGAGGCACGCGTCGACCACTTCTCGTTGCATCCAGCGGAGTAGCCCAGGGCTGCCCGCTCAGTGGCACCATCTGGGCCCTGGTGTTCGACCCCATCCTACATGGAATTCAACGCCGCTTTCGTCAGATTGGCCGTGGCATGGCCAGTGCTTGTGCTGATGATATTGGTTGCGTCTTAGCACACTTGCGTGACATGCAAGGCATCCTTCCGCACACCGAAGCGGCCCAATCCTTCGCAGGTTTGACGCTCCAACCTCTGAAGTGCGTGCTCGTCCCTGTTTGGACCAACGGCTACGAAGAGGTTGACGACGCCATGCGCGACACGCTTAGAACGATCAACCCCGCCTGGTCCCAGTTCAAGATCGACGGCAAGGCAAAGTACCTCGGAGTCTACATCGGTCCCTGTGCGGATGATCGAGCTCAATGGGCCGCCCCCGCGGCCAAGTGGTACCATCGTACCCAGATTTTGGGCGACGCCTCCGCTGCCATCCAGCTGAACGTTTCGCTGTACAACTCCTCCGCGATCACTTGCCTCACTTACGCAGGACAACTATTTCCTGCTCCAGAACTCGTTCTTTTCAAAGAAATTCATGCTCTTCACAAGCTCGACATCCTCGGCATGACGAACTGGGCGGGCGGCGCCATCCCCACTGGTGTCGAAGTCCTGCTGGCTGCCACGCTGTGGCGTTCTGCTACTTCCACCATCAATGCCTGGCCCCAGCTTCTCGAACTTCACCATCTCGCTGCACTCGATCAGATCCCACTCGTCCGAGTTGTCCAGGGACTTTGGACTGCGCCATGCTGGGCCTCTGCTACTTCGATCGCGCAACACCTGCGGGCGGCCAAGTTTGGCGACAACTACTCCACCCACAAGGGCACCATCTTCTCACCACCCACCAAACCACCCCAACCCAACCCGAAGGCTCAGATTTACCCTCGATTTCTAGTGGGGGGGGTCCGGGAATGTCGAAAAAAACACGTATGGAACCCTTACCCCCCCCAACCCGAAATTCGGGCCTTCGGGTTGGGTTGGGGTGGTCTGGTAGGTAGTCATCTTCAAGATCATCAAGCGCAGCCGCCGTCACGATCATCTGGCTCACCATCAGCTACGTCACGCTCATGAACTCGCCCGTGCGGCTGCTCATCGGGTCTTGGACAAACTTCGCCGTGCTGACGATGATCCTCCAAAGAGGTCACCGCAGACTACTTACATGATCACGTTGCAGCGCGTGCTCTACGAAGACTCCTTCGACGCCACCATCGCCGCCCGCCTTCGGGCCTGGTTCCCCACCCTCCCGTCCGCGCCGCATGCTGCCAACTCCGAATCACTACGCCTCCAACGATTTCCACCACTTCATCTACAAGTACCCAGCACGCCTGATGATGACGACCACGACATGCGCAACGCCGCCAACGAGCTCGAGACCGTCGCGGAATGCCTGCAGCACTGGGCCTCCGATTGGCTTCCCTCGATTTACCTCGCTCAAACACTACATGAATGGGACGTCGACGATTGGCATGAATGGTGCGAAACCTTTTTTCTTCGTCTACTTCGTCGTGACGGTCTTCGTGTCCTCTTCCGTGGCCAAACTGACGCTCAGCTCCGCAGGCGTGCTGAACGTATCTGCACGCAGGCTTGGCAATCAACATCGGCTTCCAGACTTCAGACCTCCGCTGCGTTCAATCCTCCCCGTACCGCCGAATTACAGCAGAGGTTCGAACGTGCAGCTAATGAACACCACGCCCGGCGCCGCTGGATCCACGACGCCGATTTCCAGAACAATGACTCGGACTCCACTCCATTGATCACCGACGACCTCACCAACGCGTACGCGGACGACAACGATTTGACCTCCCTCATCCAGTTACCTTACAACATGAAGCCCGCGTGGAACCGCATCCGCCCGAAGATCGCCGAGTTGCCGCCTTCGCGCTTCTGGCCTGTGATGAAGACGCTTTCGGGCGGGTGGGCCACGTCATACCGCATGCATGTTCAACCTGGCCTTCGTGGTTGTGTTCTTGGTTGCAACCCAAAGTTTCACCCCGACGCCTTCAGCCACTACTTGGTCTGCAAGCGCCTGTGGCACCATGCTGCACTGCCACGCGGACGACTTCACAAATGTGTACTCGCCAGGCTAGGCCTGCATGACATCAACTTCGACCCGCTCGGGGCCGACGACGACAAGATTGACCACGTGCTCGTGCGTCTTGCAGTGGTCTACAGATTTTACCACTCGATCAAGACCGACAACAACGTCGACAACTCCTACATCAACCACAAGAACTACATGCAGGCCTCGCGGCTCGCCCTGAGGCTTGGCCCGAGCGCGCACGGCGGTGCGCGCCCATTATAGATCGACGCGCCTCTCCCAGGGGTTCGCTCCTCCTCCTCCTCCTTTCCTCCCTCCTCCTCCTCCTCCCCCTCCTCCTCCTCCTCCTCCCTCCTCCTCCTCCTCCTCCTCCTCCTCCTCTCCTCCTCCTCCTCCTCCTCCTCCTCCTCCTCCTCCTCCTCCCTCCTCCTCCTCTCCTCCTCCTCCTCCTCCTCCTCCTCTCCTCCTCCTCCTCCTCCTCCTCCTCCTCCTCCTCCTCCTCCTCCTCCTCCTCCTCCTCCTCCTCCCTTGGGGGCGGGGCAGGTGCTGCCCGGCCCCTCGCTGCTCCTCCAGGCTTCCCAGACTGGGATCCGGGCTTCTGGAGTCAGGAGGTCGCGCCGCACGTCGCCGATGCATCGGCGCTGCGGCTCGCTGTGGAGCCCGATTTTCTCCGCGCCGCCTATTCCGCCGATGCACCGGCAGACCGGCGCGATTTTCCGACCCCATCACAGGGGCGTGCTTTTGAGGTCGCTCCGACTCCTCCCCTCTGTCCCCCCTCTTCCCCTCCCTGTCCCTTCTCTTCCTCCGTCCTCCTCTCTGTCCTCCCTTCTCATGTTCGTCCTATTATGATCCGCTCTCGTCTTCTTGCTTTCCCTGTTATTGTGTGCGCCCGTGAGGAACACTTCGCGACAGCTGCGGGCGAAGTCTGACCGCCCTCCCTTGCCCGTCCTATATCATACTGTTATGTTTTGTTGGTCTTGGCCGATTGGGCCACAATGGGGGGTTCCACACTTCCCCTCCCTGCAGACGCAGCTTTGCCACGATAGCGTTCCAGAGCTCGGCGTGCACGCTGTAGGATGACTCGAAGGAGCCGCCGCAGCTCGCTCGAGTCGCTCGTGTACTTGTTCCGCCCTTCCTTTTCCTTCCTTCCTCGCCTTTGAAGCCCGTCCCTGGTGAAGCTTGCTCCTTCATTTCTTTTTCTCCCTGAGGCCCGTACCCGATGAAGCTTCTTCTTGCCTGTTCAGCTTGCCTGTTTCCGTTGCCAGCTATCGACCACGGTCGCAGGACCATCCTGCGGGGGGCATGCTTTTTCGACGGCACCTTTGGCGAGGAGGCTAGTTGCGTGAATAGTAGCTGTCCGCTCCCATCTTTTCTCCCTCCAAAGAAAAACCTCGCCCTTATCTTCCTCCTCGTCATCTGATTGTCTTGCTTCTACGTGTGCTCAGTAAGGGACAGAAGGTGACCTCCCTGGTCAGCGCCAGGAGCAGGAGGAGGTCAATCATGGGGTGTACCGGCCTATCCTAAAATGTTCGACCATTCCACAATGTTTGACGCTCCTCTCCTTCCTCCCTCCGCCCTGTTCCTTCGTCCTTATCTCTTTCCCCTCCTGTCGCAACTGCATGGCCGATTTGCTCTTCTGGCCCCGATTCATAACACGAGTGTTCCGATTGCAGGGCGGTTCGTTCGGTGTTCCCGGTTAACCTTGCGAGCTTTTAGTTCACAATGTTATTGTGGCAGTCGTCGGTTTTTGCGCGACGCAATATTGTTTTTTCGTCCTCCCTCCTCGTACCCGTTCTCCTCCTGCTCCTCAAACTCGTCCTCCTTTTCCTCCTCCTCCTCCTCCTCCTCCTTTTCCTCCTTATACTCCTATTATTTTTCCTCACCTGCGGGTATGGGGCTACCTGACCGCATTGGATGTGTCCTGTCCCGACCCCGTTTTCGCTGCCTTTGCCGATGCAAGAGACCCGCACTGACCCCTCAAGAAGCGCATGTGTACAGCATGTTGCTGTTGTCCCTGCCTGTCTCGGTCCCGCTCCCTCGGCCTGCGCGGCTCGGAAAAGAAGCACTGGCGCACGCGTGAATTGCTGGAGGCCCACGCGACCTGCTTGGATCTGTCCTGCACCCCCCTGGCGGGCGGCACCTCCGGTGCCGTCCCTGGCGCGCTGCGCGCGCCAGAGGGGGGGGGGGGTTGGGGAGGCAGCGGGGAAAATTGAGGGGAAGGAGGGGAATTCAGGAAGTATGGACAATTACGGGGAATTCTGAAACGTTTGCCGACTGAAGTGTGTCTCCCTGAGCCCCGTTATTGATGACGTAGCTTGTCCTTCTGATGTTTTTGTTCCATCCCGTTCCCATGCCCTTCGCCTGTGTGGACCGCTCCCTTCTTTCCCACATACCATTCTGCATCCACCTTTTGCGTTGCATCTTCGGGGAGCATCGTCTGTCGTGTAAGTTGTGGTCATGTATTGCATCCGACGCGGGTTCGGCGTGGATTCGATGCGTATTCTACGTGACAGATTCGTCGTGGATTCGACAGTGGCAACGGGTTCGACAGGGATCCAATGCGAATAGAGGCGCGATGGTTCAGATAAGTCCCCACCCAAAGCCATGTTACATAACACATCCAGTTCCCAAGGTTGAATTGCATCGTTGGATCTCGGGATGGGCACGCTCAGTGTGCTATTAGCGAAAACGCGACCGCGTCAATTCTTCGAAACATGTTTCAAGATGACGACCTTTGGGACATAGATGTGTTTAGGAATCATGTCATGCTTCCCTTTGGGGCCATCCTTCCGCGCTCCCTCGCACCTCTTCCCTGTTTCCTCGCCCGATTATCGTCCCCCCTCCTCCTCTGCCCAAGCCCTCGCGATCTGTCCTCCTTTGTCTCTCTGTCACATCGTTCCTTCTGCCCACCCTTTTTGATGAATTGTGACCTCTAGGATTGCCCCGCCGCTGTGCAGTCTGGGCCTCTGCAGGGGTCTCCAGAGCTTCTTGGGGGGTCTTGCGATCGTCTTGGGCGGGGGGAAGTGCTTAGGACACCTGAGCCGTCGCTCTTTCTGGGGCAGCACTTGCATACATTTGCCGAGTATGCGACAGGGATGCCCATGCTGCAAGCCTGTGAGACGCCGAGAGCGCCTCGAAATAATGACCTGTGGGGAGTCCAGGCCACTGAGATAACTACAACCCGCTGGCACTAGGTACTCACGACTACCTGCGACTGGGGCATTCCGCTTCGTGCTGACAGCGCTGTGGCGGATTAGGGTTTGTGGGCTGTTAGTCATCGATTCGGCATGGCAAGGTTTGTGCGTATGTGCTTGTATACACGCGCGTGTGTGTGCGTGTGTGAAGAGCAGACGGCCGAACACCGCAACCGAAACAGGCATCCATCGCAAACGGGGATGGAGGACAGGGCGCTTGGTTTTGTTTCGGATCATATCTCGGGCGTGCGGCGAACCTTCGCGACGAGGCAGTCAGCTCCGGAAACAGCTCTCGACGAGGCGCAGCTCATGTACAGAAGCCCGAAGCGATAGAACCCCTCCCAGAACCACGACAGTGATCGTTTTTTCATTCATTGTTTTGCCGATCGGCGCGGGCCCCCAAACCGCCCCTCCCCCCCCCATGACTGTTTTTGGCGCCTGTTTCGAGCAGGCGGAGCCTCTTCCATAATGGACGCACTGTTCCAAAGAGCCGCACGAAGCAGAGGTCTGGAGCCAGACCCCCTCCCTCCCACCCCCTTTCCGCCCCACGTCGAAAAATAAAGAAAACGTTGACATAGTGAATTCAGAAGCGCTGCCCGCGACTAGGGCTGGGCGTGCTGCCCTACATGCAGCTGCTGCGGGGGCTGTCCTGCGAGCCTGGCCCGCTCTTCGCCATCGAGCTGGAGGCCATCGCCATGCGCATCCAGCGAGCGGTGCCCTCGCACAATGAGGTCTGGGCGTGCAACCAGTATACCACATGGCGCGCAAACACAGGAATACGACACGTCAAACACAGAGGAAGCAACAACAACACGCACCAACAACACTAACAGTAGCACCACCAACAACACATACAACACCAACGACCATGATGACAACAACCGCAGCAGCAACAACCACAACAACAACGGACACACCACCACCAAAAACAACAAACAACAGCAACAGCAGCAACATCAACGACAACATCACCACCATCAACAATTACACCATCAACGACAGCAACAACAACGACACCACCAACAACACAACCAGCAACAAACACATCACCAGCAACAGCAACACCAGCAAACACCACACCAACATTAACGCCACCAACACCAGCAGCAACAACGACAACCACCATGACAACAACACCAATCACAACAACAACATCATCAACATCAACAACATCCGCAACAACAACACCACCACCACAACACCAACAGCAACACCAGCAACGACAACGACAACAACACCAACGACACCATCAACCATAACAACGAGGTCGCAGCGAACATTCGCGACATGCTGCACGCGTGGGGCTTTGCGTCGGCCCACTTCATCGGGCACTCCTTCGGCACGGTCGTCATGGCCTGGGTCACCAAGTTGTACCCCGCGATCATTTGCAGGGCGAGCTTCCTGGACCCCGTCGTGTTCCTCTTGTGTGTTCCGCACATGGTGTACAAGTTCCTGTACAAGGAGCCGCGCGAGGGCATCGAGAAGCTGATGCACTTTTTTGTGTCTTCCGAGCTCTACATGGCCAACATGATGTCGCGGCACTTTATCTGGGGGAATAAAAAGTGGCATACACATTGCAACTCGGAGGTCCGGGCGGATGTCTCGGATCGCGCCAGGGGCGGCGACGGAGGCGACGCCAGGGGGGTTCCAGCGCCGATCCGAGAAATCCGCGCGGGCCTCCGAGTTTTCATGTTTACGTCATTGCCTGTTCCCCTATTGTCTGGCACGAGTGCTTGCTCTGGGAGGAGGACCGTGGGTGGACAGACCTCATACCCTCGCACGTCGATTAAGGAATTGGCCGTTTTCGGTTCGCAAGAGGGCGTCGCGGCCGTCATTTTCGCGGGTCCAGGTCCGTTTTCATCCAGGGGAGGTTTACTAGAGGGAGGTTTGTCCACCGCCGAGAGGACTTGAGGTTCCCCAACGGAGCCCTGGTCGTGCTAAGCAGCGAAGACCAGCTGGTGCCCAGCCACGAGGTGCGGCGGTACATGGCCAGGCGGGCCCCGCTCGGCACCGAGGTGGTCTGGCTCGAGGACGCGGTGGCCCAAACTTTCCACCACTCCTCCTCCTCCTCCTCCTCCTTCTCCTCCTCTCGCTCCTTCCTATGGTTGTGGTGGTGGAAGATCGGCCCGTCAAGGACGGTTTCCACGGCGAGTTCCTCCTGAGGCCGAAGGTGCTGCGCACCCTGCTCGACAGGCTTCGGTGACCAGGGCCCGGGCTGCCTCCTGCCACCCCCCACCTCTTTCGGGGAGAAGTAAGACAGTTAGCCGAAGTTTTCTGACGAGCGCGTCCTGGATGTTGGCGGTCCAGTCTCCGTGGGAGGTCTACAGCGGGAGCCCGCGTCGAGTCTCAGGTCGGGCCTCGTCCTTCTCTCGGGCTGGCCCCGTCGGGCCAACCCGAGTCCCCCGCGCCCGAGTCTTACGCCTCCCCGCCTCTCCTCTCCCCTTTGTCCGCCGCCTCTCTCCCCGGAGGGCCCCCCTTGTGGGCGGAACGCACCTGCACGTTTTTTTTTTTGCTTTTGCGGCGCGGGCGGGGCGGCGCGGCGCCTCCGGGCGCGCCTCCCTCCGTGCGAGTGGCCCCGGAGCTCTCAGGGCCTCCCCTCCTCTCGCGCCTCCCTCCGCCCAGGCCGCGCGGAGGAATGCCGCAGAGCCGGGCCGCGCGGGGAGGGGGGCCCCGCGGCCGCGGGGGCCCGTGGTGCGCGCCGCTCGGAGGGCGCGGGGTGATGGGGCACAGCTTCCGCCACCACCACCACCACGCGCAGGACGGGGGAGAAGGGAGGAGGAGGAGGTCCTCCTCCTCCTCCTCCTCCTCCTCCTCCTCCTCCTCTTCTTCCTCCAGCTCCTCCTCCTCCAGCTCCTCCTCCTTCTCCTCCTCCTCCTGCTCCTCCTCCTCCTCCTCCTCCTCTTCTTCCTCCAGCTCCTCCTCCTCCAGCTCCTCCTCCTTCTCCTCCTCCTCCTGCTCCTCCTCCCTCCTCCTCCTCCTCCTCCTCCTCCTCCTCCTCCTCCTCCTCTACGGTGGTGGAGGCGCAGGCCCGAGCACGCAGGCCAGGGCTGCAGCACCGCTGGCAGCGGTCGGCGGGACTGTGTACCGACTAAGGCCCATCCTGCGCAGGATCACCTCCCCGAGCATCATCATTATCATCATCAGCATCCGCATCACCATTATCATCATCAGCATCATCATCATCAGCATCAGCATCATCAGCAACATCATCATCAGCAGCATCATCATCAGCATCATCATCAGCAGCAGCATCATCCTATTCCACATAATCATCAACAACATCATCATCATGGTAATCAGCAGCATCATCATCATCATCATCAGCAGCAGCATCAGCATCATCATCATTAGCATCATCATCTTCATCTTCATCACCAGCAGCAGCATCATCCTATTCCAAATCATCACCAACCACATCAGCATCATCGTAATCAGCAGCATCATCATGATCATCATCATCATCATCAGCAGCAGCAGCATCATCATCCCAGACCTCGGGGGAGGCCAAGAGGGGGTGATGACTAGGAAGGGGGGGAATGATGGCGTGGGCCATGATATTTCCTCAGATGTCGTAGCGCCTCTTCTTATTTCAATACGTCCTTGCCCCCCGCCCCCCCTCTCCCCCCCAAGGCCGCGCACGTGCCGCTGGCCATGACGCGCGCCCCCCCCTCTTGGATGCCCCCCTCCTGGCCGACCCCGACCCCCCGACGCCGTGCCTGCTGCGCGACGTGAGGCCTCCGAGATCTGGCCACCGGACCCCCTTTCCTTATCAGTCTCGAACGTATCCCTTGCCCTAAGATTGACACGCCAAAAGGCGATGACAATCTTAGGGATTGGCCCTCAAAAAATAAGGGAATCCTTAAGATTGGCATCGTGATGAGGAGGTGCCCAGCATAGGGATAGGGATATGTTCCAGGCTGGTCAACTGGACCCCCTTTCCCAGATCCCTGGGCGCCAAGAACTGTTCGATCGCGGTCGGTAGCGACCGATCGGGGCTCCAAGTCGGCCGCGACCGATCCCAGAATTGGTCGCGACGGGTCGCCACTGGTCGCGACCGATTCCGTCGCGACCGGTGTTGAAGCAAATTGCTTGCGATCGATACCGACACTTGAAGCAGGATCGGCAGCGACCGTCTCTCGTCGGCCGAGAGTGGGCAACTCCAGTATCCAATGATCAGGGTTCCAGGCGACTGGCTTTTGTTCCGAGGTGCTCCTGACGGTCACGGGGCTTGGCGAGGGTCCCTGAAGTTCCAGGGCATCGCCAGCATGCTCCGTCGTGCTCTTGGGTCGCACGACACGCGAGGAGGCTGTGGCCGAGGGCCACCCTCGCGTGCATCTGAGAGATTCGACGGGGCCGGGCCCGTTTTCAATCCGCGGCCGCCCCGCGCTGCGCCACGCTGCGCATCTGCCAAATTCCCGCCCGGCGATTGGCCGATGCGGGTAGCAGGCGCCGACCTGCCCGCGGTTTCATTATGGTGCGATAGTCGGCGCTTGGCGTCTTCGGCACGGTGCAGAAGCCATGCTCTGGGCTTCGGCGCGGGGCTCGGGCAAACACTCGAGAGCGCGACGCCGAAAGAGCGCACGCACTGGCGATGGGCGAGAGGCAGGGAGGTGGATCTAAGGACGCTTCACGAATAGCGAGTGGCATAATCGTAAGCTTTTTGAGGTCAGCGCAGACATCAGGAAGGTTATGTTCGTGCTGGTGCGTGTGTGCTATTCTGGGATGGGTGTATTGTGCGCAGCGGCCCTGCCGCCTCGGGGCTTCATGGTCGGGCGTGGTTCCACCTCCTGTATGTGTTTCCCTCGGAAGTGACAGAGCATCTGCGGATCCATGCTGCGCAGTGTTTGTGGCAAGTTTGTGTGATGAGGAACTTAACTCGGGTTCGTATGATCATCATATCCTGCAGCCACCTGTGTTCCGTTTGAATTTCAGTTGCACTTTGCCGAGTGAGTCTCACAGCGAGTCTGTCGCCTCACGGTTGGGAGGAGGCAGGTGAAGGTGTTTGCGTCGAAGGGTTATAGGCAGGTAGCGGCAGCAGCGGCGGCTGACAGCAGCGGCGCATGCGAAGGAGGAGGGCCGTGGAGGAGGAGTCATAATCAGGAGGAGGAGGAGACGACGACGACGACGACGACGACGACGACGACGACGAAGACGAAGACGAAGACGGCGGCGGCGGCGGCGGCGGCGTCGGCGGCTGCGACGACGTGCCGACGACGGCGTGCGCCTCCGCCGCCGGCCTGCCGCAGGCGGGGCGCGCGGGGAGCCGACGGGGCCGCCGGGGATGGCCGAGGGCCCGGCGGGCCGCCGGGGATGGCCGAGGCCGGGGCGCACGGGGTGCAGGCCGGGCGCCGCGCTCCCGCCGCAGCACGGCACCGCTCGCGCGGGGGGTCGGCTACACGCAAGAGTGGCCTTTCGCCGGAGGGACCTTTGGTGCGGGCCCAATGGGGTCCCCCGACGTCGCCGAGCGCGATGCGGTAGTCGCGTCTCGCGCGCTCGTGTTTGGCTCCCTCGCGCCCCCGAAAGCTGCGCACCAGAGGCCACTCTTGCCCATCGGGTCACTCTTACGTCTAGCCGAGGGGGGGGCGGCGCGCGGGCGGCCGGGAGGAGAGCTGGAGGCTGCTGGCCGCCGGAGGTCCTCACGAGGCTCGGGGCTGTAGGTTCGGGCTTCGAGGGGTGGGGGGGCTCGAGGTTCGGGGTTTCGAGGCTCGGGCTTCGAGGGGGGGGGCTCAAGGTTCGGGGGGTTCGAGGTTCGGGGCTCGAGGTTCGGGGTTCGAGTTTCGGGGCTCGAGGGGGGGGGGGCTCGAGGTTCGGGGGTGTCGAGGTTCGGAGGTGTGGAGGTTCGGGGGTGTCGAGGTTCGGGATTCGAGGTTCGGGGCTCGAGGGGGGGGCTCGAGGTTCGGGGTTCGAGGTTCGGGGCCGAGGACGGGGCGCACGGGGGGCAGGCGCTCGTCGCTCTCCTCGCCGCAGCAGGGGCAACGATAGGGGGGGCATGAGCCTAGGGTGAAGTCGGGCATGCCTCACTACAGGAGGAATGTTCAAAAATAGTCAAAAAATAATATGGGGACGAGTCTTTGAATACTTGTTGACTGTTTTGGGCATTTCTGGAGTATTTATGATTATTCGCGCCAAATCCGCCTGTCGGGGGGCACGCCCGACCTGATCTTGGTTTTGGCCTCTCCCCCATATCCTCTCGGCGTTGAATAGGACGGGTCCGAAAGCCTCCTCCTCCTCCTCCTCCTCCTCCTCCTCCTCCTCCTCCTCTTTCTCTCTCCTCATCCCTAGGCCCTAGGAATGACGTGGTCGTAGCTGTCGTCGTCGTTGTTGCGCGGTGGGTGCCGCGGAAAAGAAATTATTAGTTTTGAAAAAGGGCCGGACAAGAATATCAAAAATATGTTACACCCGATCGGGAGGGCTACATCTATGATGCCAATGTGAGTTATACCTGGCTTGGCCTATATTGAATGGACTTCGGCCCATCCCGCCATGGTGCCTGGGTTGTGGGTATGAAGCCTATTGGATGTTCGTTAGGATCTCTTGTGGCTTATTTCAAGCAGTTCGGAGGCCTCTTGGGGGCCGTCTGGGGGCCTCTTGGGGCAAATGTTGAGCCTCGTGGGCGCCTCCTGGGGTCTCTTTGGGAAGAAGCGGCCTCCTTCTGAGCAGCCTTCCCCCCTTCGACCCGCTGTTTGTGCGGCCTTCCACACCGTGACTCTTCGGCCGACGATCCCGAGGCCCGAGCATAAAACTGTGAAAGCGTTTTCCGTCGCTTTGTTTTTTTTTTTCGCGGCGCGAGGGGGGCCCCACGGTGTGCCGCGCCTTGCACGTACTGCTGCGCGCGCTTCCGCAGACGGCTGCTATCGGCAGGGGGCCGGCGCGAAGCCGCCTCCAGGTTTGAGGGGCCGCGTCGCGGTGTCCGCGTGAGGAGAACAGTCAGGGGGGGAAATAGAGCGCATAGGCACGATACATCGTCGACCCCCCTGGAAAATACGGAAAATATCATAAGTGGGGGGAAAGATGAAAGCCCAGAAGATATTAGGAAATTGGTGGGTCCTGGGATTTGTGTGTATATATAGATATATGTGTGTACGTGAGTGTGTGTGTGTGTGTGTGTGTGTGTGTGTCTGTGTGTGTCAGGGCCCCTTTAAACAACAGTCGTGGGTCAGATTCTGGAGTAGATTCCCGTCTTGGCCAATGCCCAATGAAGCTGTGCGGTAGATGTACTGGGGTGTGGGGCAGCCACGAGTCGTCAACGCAATCGCCGACGCGACAAAACAGGCTGCGATCGTCGACGCCGACAAAACAAGCTGCCTGCAGGGCATAGCTTGTCGCCAGGGCCGCTACGGCGACACGCCGAGCCCAAAATATCCCGACCGTTTCGGTCTGGAGGGTTGCTGTGCTCACGCGCTGGAAGGTCAGGGGCGGGCGAGAGTCGAGGGGGAGAGGGGGAGAGGGATTGGGGCTGGAATAGAGAGGAGGAGTATTCAAAAGTAGGGATAAGATAGACTGGCGACGAGATTGTTGACTATGTTTGATTTGTTTTATGTTTTTTTTCGATGTGGCTTATTTTTTCTATTTTTACTGTTTTTGAAAATTGTGCCTTTTATATTTGTTGTCCAAACTCCGCCTGTAGGAGGGCACGCCCGACCTCAGAGTAGGGGCTGGAGCTGACTGCGGGCGCGGCGAGGCTCCCGGAGGGGAGGCGGGGCGGGGGGGGGGAGCAGCGAGGCCCGGAGGCCCAGGCCTCGCCAACCAAGGTCGCACATGGCGTGTTTTTTTCCCCCCCCGATGGACGCATCTCGCGCGCCATGGACCATGCAGAATTGAGCTCCTCCTCCTCCTCCTTCTCCTCCGCCTCCCTCTCCTCCTCAGTGCAGCGCTTCGTGGCCACATAGGGAGCTTCTCACAATACGGTACCCACAACTGCATATGGATGGGACCTTATTTTTCGTCGAAAATCCTCCTCCCTCTCCTCCTCTTCCTGGTTGTTCCTGTTGGCGCGCCTTTTCCCGTGTTCCCCTCCTTCTGCCCGTGGCGGGCGGACGGTCCCCCCCGCGGCCCGTTCGAAGAACATTGTTCTTGTTATTCGAACATGTTTGTGTTCTACGAACATGTCGTGGTCGGAATGCCGGGACGGTCGGTCCCTGCTCAAAGGATGCGGCTCCGTATGCCACTTCTCGTCGGCCGCTCTGTCGTTCTGCCTGCCCCCGCCCTCGCCCCCCTCCCAGAAGCCCAGGGAGGAAGGGCGAGCGACACGGCAGGCGGCGGGCGATTCGTTCCTCCTCTGCATCCTCGCCGTCCTCGTCCTGCTGCTGCTGACGTCCTCACCCCTCTTTCCCACCTCCTCTCCTCCTCTCCTCCTCCATGCTGCCCTCCTCCTCCTCCTCATCCTCCTCGTCCCCGTCGTCCCCCCATTCTGCGTGTGGATGGCCAGCTCCTCCTCGTCCTCATGATCGCCGTCGTCGTCCTCCCTGAATGCCAGAGGTCTTGCTTCTCAATGCGGGCCCCCCTGAAGTCCCGCGACCCTTTTCCCAGGGCCGGCTTGTCATCCTGAGCCACTGTTTGACGTTTCTTGGGTCCGGAGAGGGCTCTCGGAGGGCAAACTGAGAACGGTCCTCCGTCTTGATATGAATTCGAGGCGTTGGATGAGTGGGTCCTCCTCCTGCTCCTCGCCCTTCTCCTCCCCTCTGCCCCACCTCTGCTCCCAGATGGGGTGAGAGGGGGAGGAGGAGGAGGAGGAGGAGGAGGAGGAGGAGGAGGAGGAGGAGGAGGAGGAGGAGGAGGAGGAGGAGGAGGAGGAGGGGAGGGGGGAGGAGGGGGAGGGGGAGGAGAAGGAGGAGGAGGAGGAGGAGGAGGAGGAAGAATAATAATAAGAATAAGAAGAATACGAATAATAATAATAGTAATACTTGAATGTTCCGTGGGGTTCCTATCCTGTTAGGGTGCTTCGACTTAGTTCGCCCCAACTCTAACCAGGATGCGTCAAGCTGCTTGCGAAGCAGTTGGAACAGGAAAGGAACTAATACTAACCATGTTACCTAACCAGGTTAGCTAATCATCCTAACCGCGAACCTGGTTAAGCCAACTAGAACGAACCAGGTTAGATCTGGATAGAAACGGCAGAAAATAACATAATTGCGTATGTTTTTTTCCGAATTGAAGGTGTTTTTTTATTTTATTTTGTATGTTTTTAAAATATTAGCGTTGTTTTTTTTTATTTCTCATTTTTGTTTTGTGGATTTACCCCTAAAAAAAAACATAGTGACTATGTTTATGGTATTGTGTGCTTCGCTGGGCGTGTTTGCTTGCCACGCTGGCACGGTATATCTGCGGTGTCACACAGTGTGGTGATGCGTGTTGAATGTCTCGTTGCAGCGTGCAACACTGCCTGCTGTCAAGGAACAACGACAAACCAGGACTGAAACGTTGACTGTATTTCGATATGTTTTTTCATTTTTCCACATACGAGCTGTCTCAATTTTTCCTCGAAGCCCTGAGTTTCAGCTTTGGCGGATGCAATACCGTCGACACCTCGCCAACACGCGCAACTGAAGCGATGCAGGGCTCCAATATACATGA